TTGAAGTTCCCTTTCTTTCCCTTTGCCCTTTTCTTGAAACTAGTGGTCTTGTCAACCATCAACACTTGATACTCTTTCTTGATTTCTACCTTCATCAATTTCAACATCATGAAGAGCTCGGGAATCGCTTTCGTCATCCCTTGCATACTATAGTTCATCACAAAGTTCTACTAACTTGGTGATGGTGACTAGAGAACTCTGTCAATCACTATCTTATCTGGAAGATTAACTCCCACTTGATTCAAGCAATTGTAGTATCCAGACAATCTGAGCACATGCTCACTAGTTGAGCAATTCTCCTCCATCTTTTTAGCTATAGAACTTGTTGGAGACTTCATATCTCTTAACTCGGGTATTTGCTTGAAATATTAACTTCAACTCCTGGAACATCTCAGATGGTCCATGACGTTCAAAAAAACGTCTTTGAAGTCCCGATTCTAAGCTGTTAAGCATGGTGCACTAAACTATCAAGTAGTCATCACATTGAGCTAGCCAAACGTTCATAACGTCTGCATCTGCTCCTGCAATAGGTCTATCACCTAGCGGTGCATCAAGGACATAATTCTTCTGTGCAGCAATGAGGATAAACCTCAAATCACGGACCAAGTCCGCATCATTGCTACTAACATCTTTCAACACAATTTTCTCTAGGAACATATAAACATATGAAAGCAACAACGCGAGCTATTGATCTACAACATAATTTGCAAAATACTACCAGGACTAAGTTCATGATAAATTTAAGTTCAATTAATCATATTACTTAAGAACTCCCACTTAGACAGACATCTCTCTAGTCATCTAAGTGATCACGTGATCCAAATCAACTAAACCATGTCCGATCATCACGTGAGATGGAGTAGTTTTCAATGGTGAACATCACTATGTTGATCATATCTACTATATGATTCACGTTTGACCTTTCGGTCTCCGTGTTCCGAGGCCATATCTGTATATGCTAGGCTCGTCAAGTTTTAACCTAAGTATTTCGCGTGTGCAACTGTTTTGCACCCGTTGTATTTGAACGTAGAGCCTATCACACCCGATCATCACGTGGTGTCTCAGCATGAAGAACTTTCACAACGGTGCATACTCAGGGAGAACACTTATTGAAAATTTTAGTGAGAGATCATCTTAAAATGCTACCGTCAATCAAAGCAAGATAAGATGCATAAAGGATAAACATCACATGCAATCAACATAAGTGATATGATATGGCCATCATCATCTTTTGCTTGTGATATCCATCTTCGAAGCACCGTCGTGATCACCATCGTCACCGGCGCGACACCTTGATCTCCATCGTAGCATCGTTGTCGTTACGCCATCTATTGCTTCTACGACTATCGCTACCGCTTAGTGATGAAGTAAAGCAATTACAGGGCGTTTGCATTTCATACAATAAAATGACAACCATATGGCTCCTGCCAGTTGCCGATAACTTCGGTTACAAAACATGATCATCTCATACAATAAAATATAGCATCACGTCTTGGCCATATCACATCACAACATGCCCTGCAAAAACAAGTTAGACGTCCTCTACTTTGTTGTTGCTAATTTTTACGTGGCTGCTACGGGCTTTAGCAAGAACCGTTCTTACCTATGCATCAAAACCACAACGATAGTTCGTCAAGTTAGTGCTGTTTTAACCTTCGCAAGGACCGGGCGTAGCCACACTCGATTCAACTAAAGTTGGAGAAACAGACACCCGCTAGTCACCTGTGTGCAAAGCACGTCGGTAAAACCAGTCTCGCGTAAGCGTACGCGTAATGTCGGTCCGGGCCGCTTCATCCAACAATACCACCGAACCAAAGTATGACATGCTGGTAAGCAGTATGACTTGTATCGCCCACAACTCACTTGTGTTCTACTCGTGCAAACAACATCAACGCATAAAACCAGGCTCTGATACCACTGTTGGGTAACGTAGTAATTTCAAAAAAAAATCCTACGCACACGCAAGATCATGGTGATGCATATCAACGAGTGGGGAGAGTGTAATCTACATACCCTTGTAGACAGAAAGCGGAAGCGTTAGAACAACGCGGTTGATGTAGTCGTACGTCTTCACGGCCTGACCGATCAAGCACCGAAACTACGACACCTCCGAGTTCTAGCACACGTTCAGCTCGATGACGTCCCTCGAACTCCGATCCAGCCGAGTGTCGAGGGAGAGTTCCGTCAGCACGACGGCGTGGTGACGATCTTGATGTTCTACCGTCGCAGGGCTTCGCCTAAGCACCGCTACAATATTATCGAGGAGGACTATGGTGGAGGGGGACACTGCACACGGCTAATAGATCTCAAGGATCAATTGTTGTTGTCTTTGGGGTGTCCCCCTGCCCCCATATATATAGGAGCAAGGGGGGAGGCGGCCGTCCTATGGAGGAGGCGCACCAAGGGGGGAGTCCTACTCCCACCGGGAGTAGGACTCCTCCTTTCCTTGTTGGAGAAGAAAAGAGGAGAAGAGGGAGAAGGAAAAGGGGGCTGCCCCCCTTGTCCAATTCGGACCAGAGGGGGGGCGCAGGCCTCCTTCCTTTTGGCCTCTCTCCTCTATTCCCGTATGGCCCATTAAGGCCCATATACTCCCCGGCGAATTCCCGTAACTCTCCGGTACTCCGAAAAATACCCGAATCACTCGGAACCTTTTCGAACTCCGAATATAGTCGTCCAATATGTCGATCTTTACGTCTCGACCATTTCGAGACTTATCGTCATGTCCCCGTTCTCATCCGGGATTCCGAACTCCTTCGGTACATCAAAACTCATAAACTCATAATATAACTGTCATCGAAACCTTAAGCGTGCGGACCCTACGGGTTCGAGAACAATGTAGACATGACCTAGAACTATTCTCGGTCAATAACCAATAGCGGAACTTGGATGCTCATATTGGCTCCTACATATTCTGAGAAGATCTTTATCGGTCAAACCGCATAACAACATACGTTATTTCCTTTGTCATCGGTATGTTACTTGCCCGAGATTCGATCGTCGGTATCCAATACCTAGTTCAATCTTGTTACTGGCAAGTCTCTTTACTCGTTACGTAATGCATCATTCCGTAACTAACTCATTAGCTACATTGCTTGCAAGGCTTATAGTGATGTGCATTACCGAGAGGGCCCAGAGATACCTCTCCGACAATCGGAGTGACAAAACCTAATCTCGAAATATGCCAACCCAACATGTACCTTTGGAGACACCTGTAGTACTCCTTTATAATCACCCAGTTACGTTGTGATGTTTGGTAGCACCCAAAGTGTTCCTCCGGTAAACGGGAGTTGCATAATCTCATAGTTACAGGAACATGTATAAGTCATGAAGAAAGCAACATCAACATACTAAACGATCAAGTGCTAAGCTAACGGAATGGGTCAAGTCAATCACATCATTCTCCTAATGATGTGATCGCGTTAATCAAATGACAACTCTTTTGTCCATGGTTATGAAACATAACCATCTTTGATAAACGATCTAGTGAAGTAGAGGCATACTAGTGACACTATGTTTGTCTATGTATTCACACATGTATTATGTTTCCGGTTAATACAATTCTAGCATGAATAATAAACATTTATCATGATATAAGGAAATAAATAATAACTTTATTATTGCCTCTAGGGCATATTTCCTTCAGTTCCAACCGTCAGGACTAGAGGAAAAACGATCTACGTAAAGCATGTAGTCAAGATGAGATTCTTTTATTTCTTGCATGATAATACGTGTCTCATTAATAAAATAAATATTTAGTTACAAGACACATAAACATCGACATTACAGGACTGAAAAGATAGGATAATCCTATGCGAAAGACCAGCGTCTGTCCCTCTCCACTAAGAAAAAGGAGACATATCACCTCTTCACACGAGCTCGACGCGCCTCCATCGCTGGTCAACAGCTTTACGGACCTCAAAAGTTGTTGCTTGAAGCAAAACCATTGCCGTTGAAAGAATCAGACCGGGGCAACATGTCCCCGGACACGCCATCGAACTCTAGAACTGACACCCCCGCACGACTATGACGCCGGAGGAGGAAACCATAACTGTCAGCCTTCAACCACAAACCCAGCACAAGATGCACCATGTTTCAGCTGTCACTTGCATAGACAACTGTCTGCGCGTACTCCGGGACGACAAAACCTCCCTGCTCCACCATGACGTCGGAGATAACGCCGTAGCAATGGGGATAGAGCAGAAGGAGAGACACGCCTGATGGAGCCACCACCGCCGCCTCGCTGACACCATCCATGAACCCTAACGCCGCCGACCTGAAGGATCGGCAAATACACGATGCCATTAACTCCGAGACGCCGCCATGATGAGCACCGCTAGTGTCGGAGTAGAGTTAAGACAGATTTATTCGTCCGGACTCCGCTCCCACCACCCCAACAACGCACCATGACCTACAAATCCAAACCATAACTATAGAGGGAGAAACGGGGTCCCCCTCCCTCCTGCTGCCGGAGTAGCAGCCGGAGGGAGAGGGGGCCAACGTCCTGACCGGTGGAGATCGGTGGAAGAAGATCCGCCTCCCTAATCGCTTGGTTCTGGCGACGGCTAGGGCAGGGGAAAAACGCCTCAGTCGAGGTGAGATTCACACGCACTCGAAATCATTCACCAGTTGTCTGATACGTACTATCGTTTTTAACACGAGTTTCCTTCCTTCATCAGTTGTGTTATATCGTTGGACGTATCGTGTCGGCGCGCTCTATATGCCAGACCGCAGGGAGCCGTGAACCCGTGTAGGCCGGAGCGGCGTGGTTTTTTCCACGGCGTCACGCCACGATACCCTGTGACACCTATCGTTTACTTTTGCGAGACGGGCCAAACCAGCGGTGCCGTCTAGCGCTCCCTTTGCTGAGCAGAGCGCCCACAACTAAGTCGTGAACGAGTGCCACCACGTTTGGCCACCCGAGCGGCACAGCGAAGCTTGGTGCCCCGCATGACGGACGAGTCAGCACACTGATCCCTTCCCCGGGGTGCGCGCGTAACCATATGCGTACACGGCACACACCTCCGCCGGGCTTTGCCGCGGCGGCACCGCCCTTGCCCTCGCCCCGTATAAGAAGAGCACAAGGCCAGAGAATTTACTCACCCACCCACACACACCATTCATCCTTCCACAACGCACGGTGTGATACAGAGACAGCGATCGAGCCGAGCGCCATGGCGGAGGAGGCAAGGGCGGCCGGGGAAGAAGAGCTGTCGTCGGTGGCCGAGGGGGCTCCCGTGACGGCCCGGCGGCCCGTCCGAGCAGACCTGGAGAAGCACATCCCAAAGCCCTGTGGGTGATTCTTCTTCGATTATTCCTCCCCTGCTGCCCCGGTCGGCGAATTCTTACAGGCCCGTGACATGCAGACCTGGCCCGAGCTCTGGTGGCGCCGGACGTGTACCATCCTGGAGGGAGCAAGGAGGGCGGTCACCAGCACCAGCAGAGGAGCGTGCTGCAGCAGCATGTCGCCTTCTTCGACATGGATGGCGACGGCGTCATCTATCCATGGGAAACTTACCGAGGTAAACTTTGAGTTACATACGTCAGTTGTAGCAGCCAGTAAAATTTAATTTCCTCCACGGATAGCATGTTGAGCAGCCAGTAAAAGTGTTCGTTGTTGGTAATATCGCACTGGTTTCAGGACTGAGGGCACTGGGCTTCAACATGATCGTGTCCGTCCTCATCGCAATAGGCATACATACTACTCTGAGCTACACAACTCTGCCTGTAAGTCTCGAAATGGTCAAATTTAGCTCGACGAACATCCTCCACAGTCCCTGGCTGATAGGACATACCCCATTGTGTATCGACATCTTATATAGCAACTTAATTTTCATCTGATCTTTCATCGCTCCGGACACAGAGCTGGGTACCATCTCTGCTGTTCCCAATCTACATCGACAACATCCACATGGCCAAACATGGCAGCGACACCGCGACTTATGACTCCGAGGGAAGGTATGTAACTGATCAAACACTTTCTGCTAGTAGTGCTAAGAATGGTCTGTGATCTGCTAGTTACATGACCGGCATATATGTGCGATTGTGAATGCTTATAGGTACATGCCGGTGAACTTCGAGAACATATTCAGCAAGAACGCCCGCTCGTCGCCGGATAAGCTAACGTTCCGGGAGATCTGGATGATGACCGACGGCCAACGGCAGGCGAACGACCCATTTGGATGGTCTGATTTCGTTTTACACGTTGGACCATTTGCACGCTTACTTTCTGCTCCATTCTCTCGGGTCAAACGGCAGAAATGTGTTCGTTCTAATGATAAATCCATGGGTACTTGTTGATTCAGGGTGGCGAGCAAGGGGGAGTGGATGCTTCTGTACATGCTCGCCAAGGACGAGGAGGGGAACCTTCCGAGGGAGGCTATTCGCCGCTGCTTCGACGGTAGCCTGTTCGAGTTCATCGCCGACGAGAGGAGGCAGCCACACGGGAAGCACCAGTAGCATGCAACGCTGCCGGCCCGGAATGTCTTCCTGTCTAAGACTGTGTGTGGACTGTGGACTAGCTACCACATCCTCATGTACTCCTACCATGAAGTAATAAGTTGTGCCCTCCTCAAAGTTTCATCAGGAAAAGAAACACAGTCGTTTTCAATGATAATTTTAAACAATCGCATGGAATTGCCGCGGGTTGGGGTATGGCCCAACAATTTGCACTCTCTGAAACTCCAGAAGGAGGACCCCCACTATTTTTTTTTTTGTCGAAGATGAAGTTTTTTTTTTTTTTTTTTGCATGGATCCTCGTAGACGAAGTTAGGCCATGTACGGTACAAAACCTTATTTCGGCCATGTTGGCACACACCCTCACCAACGGGCCGGCCCACTTATGAGAGTAGCGTAGTGCGGTCCTTGTAGCGTTTTTTTGGTGGCCGGTTCTCTGTGTTTTGTTTTTGTCCCTTTTTTGCCGGCTTTTGTTCGGGTATTTTTTTAATTTTATTTTTCATTTAAATTTGCATGAATTTTTATTTTAAAATTCATGAAATTTTTCTAAATCCATGAAATTTCTTTAAATTCATGAACATTTTTCAAATATGTGAACTATTTTTCAAACAAAAATGCTAAAAAATTGACATCAGATTTTTAAGCATAACAAATTAAATGTTTTTATGGCAAATTACCTGTCGCGAGCATGCCAATTTCCTTTAGAAAACAGGGCAAATCCTAAAAAAAAACTGAACATGCCAAGATTTGCCTTGCTTGCTGAAGGGAATTGCCAGGCTTGCGGCATGTAATTTGCTGCATTTTTTTTTTGATTTGGCATGTTTAAAAATTTGATATCAGATTTGTAGCTCGGTCCTTTTCAAATGCATGATTTTGTTTAAAATTCATAAAGTTTTGCAAATTTGTGAACCTTTTCAAATTCTTTGAAAAGTCAACGGTCAACATAGTCTAATGATCAAAGGGTCAAATTGGCAACTGTTAAATGATCAGTGGTTAAACGGTCAAACTATCAACGAACACGATCGAGTGTGGGAGAGAGCCAGTGAAGCAATTGATCGATAAGGTGTTGCTTTAATGAGGCCAAGTTTGACCTGTTTGGATGCTGGTCTTTAGTGTTTTGCCCGCACAGCCTGGTGTTTCAAGCATCTCTCACCTTGGCTTAGAGGAAACGGTCGAATAAGACTATTCAACCTTAGTCTCCTTCACTTAATCCCTTCTATTGAACAAAACGGTGCTTCGATTTGAAATAACCTCTAAATAAAAGATGCACATTGGTGTCACAGTTTCATTGAGACGATCAGTTCCTAATTTCATTAACTGTATATGTTCAATTTTTGGGGTCATGTTTGAAGCTTTTTAGACAAAATATCGTGCCAATAAAAAAAGTTTAGACAAAATTCATGGAGGGGCGCAGGCAAGGCAAGGCTCGGAGCGTGACACCAATGTCTGAGGCGAGCTGGGTGGAAGAGGAGGGATGTAGAAAGGTGGCGAGGAATGCATGGGAGATACGGGAACAAAAGTGGAGAGGCGAGATGTAGGTTGTACATAAGTACGTGCGGACTTCTACCGTTCCATCTTTGCGATCAACACACGTCAAATCCAACGAACGTGTCGCCTCACGTTTCCATATCGGCAGGTTTACGCCACGTTTGGATGTCTATATCGGACCTCCGAATTGGATTTCGTATTGCCTGGCTGCCAATTCAGCTGTTTGGATGCGCACTGAAATGCTAGACTGAAATGAATCTCAATACAGAAGCGAATTTGCTCTCACGCTCGGGGGCCTTCCGCAATACGGAGCTCCACCGCTCCGATTTCGGTTGAATCGACCTACACCCGCAAAAGAAAACAATTGGATCTACGCCCCCGCGGGAGACCTGCCTCTTCTCCCCCACGCGTGACCAAGATCTGGAGGAGCCGCACGCAGGGCAGCACATCGGCGGCGGTGCCGAGGCAAGCTCCTCTCGCTGGCCCTCCTCCTCCTCCTACGCCGGTACAGGCATCCCCACTGCCACAGCTCGTTCCCCTTACTCCCATGGCGTCCCATCTCCTCTGCCATCAAGTCCCCTCTGCCGCTCCATATCCTCCCATGGCCGCCACGGCCGGGACCTAGCTGTCCACCGCCGCTCCTCATCTTCTACCTCTGCTCCTTCATCCTTCGGTCCTTCCATGCCACCGGACACCCTCCTCCTTTGCCGCCGGTTCCCCCATCTCTTCTGCTCATTCCACATGTGCTCTGCCGCCAAATCCCCTCTTCTGCCCTCTCCTTCTTCAGTTAGCTACGTGTCATTTTTCTTCCGTTTGTGCAATCTGTGTACACAGTACAACGATCATGTTTGACCAATGTAATCCTGGTGCACATCTTCAGTTAGCTAGGTGTTGGTTTTGTTCAGTTTCGTCAGATAATAAGTATGCATGCATCGTGAGCCTATACGAGAACGTGATACATGTGGTAAGCAATCCAAACAATTCCAAAAGAAAAAGGAGAGTGAGGCTATCTAGCTGCAATGACAGATCAGGCTGAAGCTGAGCATGCGTCCATTCTTGAGAAATCCCGTCAGGCAGCAAACAGCAAAATGTTATCTAGGTACTGCCATTGCTGAAAGTCCCGAGCCTGAAAGTATGGCTGTGAAGCATTTTTTCTGAAGGAAACTATGTGCTGTTGTTGAGAAATTCGGACTTACATATTTGAACTATTGCTATATAATCATTTAATTTATAGTCACACACTTTAGAAATCGTGATTTGATGCATATAGAACAAAGTACTATGCAATTCCATAGTTTACCATCCAAACATGATTTGGTATTGAAACCTCACTGAGATTCCATGAGCCAATACAATGAGCATCCAAAGTTCCAAACAAGCGAATTGGTATTCATGTCCATTACAGTTTCCTTGTTGATTTGGAATTGAAACCAATTCAATACAGAGGCCTCCAATACAGACATCCAAACACAGCGTTAAAGAAAAAAGGTTTCCATATCGGCAAATGGAGTGCAATTATGCAATTACTAGATCATTTATGGCGCGCATTGCTGCGCCCATCCATTTTACCAATAGAATGAATAGAAAATTGTAACTTATGGTGGCACGAAACATAAAAAATGAATGCAAAATGAGTTTATTGCAATTTAAGAACAACTAACTAATTTTTTTGGATAAGCCCCAATACTTGCTCTTAGGAGAATAGTCCGGTGAAACAGATGTGGTAAATAGTACTATGTCTACTTCACAATGCAGATTCTAATCAGCTAGGATTCCTAGGCAGATGGCAGATCGTTTGCTATGTCCCATCACAAGATGCACATTTTCTTTATTTTATCGCATCCACATCTAACTGGTAGCTTAACAGTTGATGGTATTCTTGAAGTGATAATTGCCTAGTTTCAAAACTGTTGAATAATTAGAGAAGGGGTGATAATAATTGATAAGAGTCAAAAAGTGATAATTACAATATATTGATCAATAAGCGATTGCATGTACCAAGAGGTTTAGGAATAGAATTTTGTGAGATATCAAACTTGAATTATAAGCTTCATTATCGCGATGAGAGCTCTGTGCATATAAAAAAATAAGATACCTTAATATTTTGTAGACTCTCCAAATGTCCCAATCAAACTAGTATAGACATGTACCACACTTAATAACATTTAAGTTGAGCAGTTAATTCGATCACAAGTTTACAACTACTTGGCAGAGTAAATAAATATGGTTAAGGCATCAATGTGACACACAGGCATGCTTAATAAGCGGAGCAGTATAATGTCATGCAGAATATATATCAACATCTTTGAAGAAACTTACAACACCATAAAATAGAATGCCATTGACACCATTTACTTGCTGAGGTACAAGGAGGCCTATTCTTATCTAAAGAGGTAATCACCGCCTCTAGCCATAGTATCACAATATAGGCGAGGTAGTAACCCAAGCAGAATTTCTGTTGTTTTCAAACTGGACGCTGTCAAAAGAAGTGATAACTTGCCACAAGTTTTTCCAATTTCCTATATCAAGTGAAAGAAAAGCAACTTATATATTAAGTACCAAAATGACCTCCACAACTACCATCTACATCCGGATCAACATTGTCATTGGTTACCTTATAGTACTTCGACAGCTCCGGTAAAGTTCCATATTTAGCAATTAGCATCAAGACCAACTTATTAAACTGGAACACAACATGTATATAATTTGACTGTCATGCACATGCACATACTATATTAAAAATCAACCAACAAAAACAACCTAAACCTCTATTTTATTGTACACAATAGTAATCAAACATCTAGTCATGTTAAACTCGGTGCAAAAATAACAAATATACAACGAGAAAGTTACATGTAGCTGTCGTACTTATTAAATTTTATCACTTGCTGGGCACAAACACTGAAAGTCATACGGAGTATACTGTAAATTTATATACAAGAATGTTTTCACATGGTGTTATTTTTGTTGAGCTTCTCAGGGATGAGCATGCAACTAAAAATTAATGAATGTGCACTGTTAAGTTTCCTTGTCTGCCAGGACCATCACCGTACTATTCCCAAACCAATACAATTACATTAGTAGGAGAGGGTTGATAACATAAACTTTATATGATAATGCAGCAAGTCTGCAGCAAAATGTTGAACATCAGCATGCATATGGGTACTTGGGATATTCTAAGAAGCATGTACAACTACACGGACTTTAGCGTTGAATCTAGTAAATCTTAGTATCAAGGACTAAATAAAATGGGGAGAAGAAGCAGGAGGAGAACATTAAGGAGCTTACTGTGGTTCCGTGAGGTTGGCCAGTTCTCAAACAAGGTGAAGATAGTGAGGCGGCAGAAGCCGCGGCATGCGACATGTGAGGACTAAAGTCATGGGTACTGCAACCGGGGGTATGGTGGCACACAATGAGTTAATTAAGTAGTATGACACCAGGTTGACCTCACAGAATATCAAGGTTGTTAGACTCACACTTTACACTTGGTTATAATCAACCTTTAGTTCTGATGC